GGAAGGCGGGGTACAGTGGTTCACGCCTGTAATCCCAGCACTTTGGGAGGCCAAGGAGGGTGGATCACAAGGTCGGGAGATCAAGACCATCCTGGCTAACACAGTGAAACCCTGTCTCTACTAGAAATACAAAAAATTAGCCCCATGTGGTGGTGGGCACCTGTAGTCCCAGCTACTCGGGAGGCTGAGGCAGGAGAATCGCTTGAACCTGGGAGGTGGAGGTTGCAGTGAGCCGAGATTGTGCCAGTGTGCTCCAGCCTGGGTGACAAGAGTGAGACTCTGTCTCGACAGAAAAAGAAAAAAGATGATCTGAATAGCATTGCAGCAGTGAAGGTGCTCCAGACACACACGCCCACCCAGCAGGAAGCACTGTTCCATAATATTTCATAATGAGATAAAAGATGCTCAGAAGATGACAGAAGCTGTGAAAGAACAGCATAAATCAGAAATAGAAAAGCCCAGGCCAGGCTCAGTGGCTCACGCCTGTCATCCCAGCACTTTGGGAGGCCAAGGCAAGTGGATCACTTGAGGTCAGGAATTCGAGACTGGCCTGGCCAACATGTGAAGCCCTGTCTCTACTAAAAATACAAAAATGAGCCAGGCGTGGTGGCAGGCGCCTGTAATCCAACCTACTTGGGAGGCTGAGGCACGAGAATCACCTGAATCTGGGTGGTAGAGGCTGCAGTGAGCCGAGATTGCACCACTGCACTCCAGCCTAGGCGATAGAGCAAGACTCAGTCTAAAAAAAAAGAGAGACAAGCCCAGAAATGTGGTAACTAGACAAAAGAAGTGTAAAAATTGCCTGTGGAGCTCAGAAATGAATTCTAAAGAAAAAACATTTTTTTAATGAAGACTAAACTATAAGAAGTGTAAAAGTGAGTAGACACCATGGAAAGTGCAGTATTTGGAAACAGATGACAGAAAAGAAAAAAGCAAACAGAGAGATGAAAAGGCATTCTGACAATTGAATATGGCAAAGAAGACTGAACTTACACACAGCTGATGAAAAGCCGTTCTGACTTGGGCTGGGTGCGGTGGCTCATGCCTGTAATCCCAGCACTTTGGAGGCTGAGGCAGGTGGATCATCTGAGGTCAGGAGTTCAAGACCAGCCTGGACAACATGGTGAAACCCGTCTCTACTAAAAATACAAAAATTAGCCAGGCATGGTGGCAGGTGCCTGTAATCCCAGCTACTCGGGAGACTGAGGCAGGAGAATCGCTTGAACCCGCGAGGCGGAAGTTGCAGTGAGCCGAGATTGCGCCATCGCACTCCATCCTAGGGGACAAGAGCGAAGCTCCATCTCAAAAAAAAAAAAAGGCGTTCTGACAATTGAATATGGCAAAGAAGATCCAACTTACACACAGCCAGAGTCTCTGTTTCCGTTATCTGTTGCTGCGTGACAGATCTCCCAAACTTAAGGTCCCCATTCATCACCCCTTGTGTTTCTGTGGGTTGGCTGCATGGTTCTGCTTTTCTGACCGAGGCTCCTCAGGTGGTCACAGCCCCGTAACATCTAGAAACATCTGATGGCCTGTGTGGCCTTCTGTGTCCAGCAGTTCATCGCGACTGTCAGTTGGGGCTCCTTGGTTCTCCTGCACGTGTGTCATCCAGGAGGCCTAGCGTGCACCTGTAGTCCCAGCTTCTTGGAAGGCTGACGCTGGAGGATCACTTGAGCCCAGGAATTGGAGGCTGCAGCGAGCCATGATCAAGCCAGCACACTCCAGCCTGGGTGACAGAGTGAGACCCCGTCTGTTAAAAAAAGAGGCTGGGCACAGTAGCTCACACCTGTAATCCCAGCACTTTGGAAGGCTGAGGCAGGCAGATCACCTGAGGTCAGGAGTTCGAGACCAGCCTGGCCAACATGGTGAAACCCTGTCTCTACTAAAAATACAAACATTAGCTGGGCGTCGGGGCAGGCGCCTGTAATCCCAGCTACTCGGGAGGCTGAGGCAGGAGAATCACTTGAACTCGGGAGGCGGAGGTTGCAATGAACCGAGATCGCGCCATTGCACTCCAGCCTGGGTGACAGAGTGAGACTCCATCTCAAAAGAAAAAAAAAGAGAAGGAAGTGGGGAGAAGAACGAGGGCGAAGGGACCCCATGAGTACAGCCCAGGAACAAATGAGTTCTGCACCTCCTCCCACCTCCCCCAGGTGCTGACCCCAACTCTTCAGACCCCTGCTCCCCCTGCCCCAGCTCCTCCTGCCCCGTCCCCCATGCCTTGCCATTCCCCTTCAGCCTGGCTGTCCTGTCCCCTATGCCTTGCCAGTGCCTCTCAGCCTGGCTGCCCTGCTGGGTCCCTGTACGTGAAGAGCTGCTTCTCAGTGGCTCCCTGCTGGCCGGAGCCATCCCTCCCAAGCTGAGCCACCAGTGCTAACCTGTTGAGTAGCAGCCCTGTTTCATAGCATGTCTCCCCTGCTGTGCAAAATAGTCACTGGAACGGGGAGTTTCATTTGGCATAACATAAAGTACACATTCCGGATTTAAGGTTCCCAGGAAAAATAGGAATAGCAACTCCCACAGTCTCCACAGACTGAAAGGGAAAGCGTCTCCCCGCTGTGGACGTGCCACATCGTGCTCCAGCGGCCACTTCTTCCTAACCTCTCCCTGTTTACCCCCCAGATTTTTCCTCTGTTCCGTGCGCTAGGTGCAAACGGCCTCCTCATTGAGTATGAAGACATGTTTCCCTACGAGGGCCCTCTGAGACTGCTGAGGGCCAAGTACGCCTACAGGTAACACCGCCTACAGGTACCACCGCCCATGGCAGGGACGGGCGCGGCGGGAAAGCGGGGAAGGGAGGGTTTTGCAGGGTGGGAGGAGCAGCAACCTGGAGGTGCAGGTGGAACAGTAAGGAGATGAACGGTGGTGGGTACATTACTTTTTTGTCTTTTTTTTTTTTTTTGGGAATCTCTTTTTTTTTTTTTTTTTTTTGAGGCGGAGTCTCGCTCTGTCGCCCAGGCTGGAGTGCAGTGGCCGGATCTCAGCTCACGGCAAGCTCCGCCTCCCAGGTTTACGCCCTTCTCCTGCCTCAGCCTCCCGAGTAGCTGGGACTACAGGCGCCCGCCACCTCGCCCGGCTAGTTTTTTTTGTATTTTTTAGTAGAGACGGGGTTTCACTGTGTTAGCCAGGATGGTCTTGATCTCCTGACCTCTTGATCCACACGTCTCGGCCTCCCAAAGTGCTGGGATTACAGGCTTGAGCCACCGCGCTCGGCCACTTTTTTGTCTTTTTAAATTCATCTCTTTAATTGTAAAAAATAATCATAAAGTGAAAACAAAGTTTTATTTCAAATAGTCACTGGAGAGAATTTTGAAACATTTAAAGGGAAAGTAAGCATCAGCAGCACCCCCTACAGGGAAAAGCTGTATTTCCTGTCTCTGTCCTGCAGGCGTTTCCTCTGTTGATAGGAAGGCCTGGAGAAGGCTGGGCTAGAGAAGGCTAGAGAAGGCTAGAGAAGGCCTCCGCATGGGGAGAGACTGCTCTTCAGGCCACAGTTGAGCCTTGAGTTAGAGAAGTGAAGAATTAAAGGGGAGAAAATCAAAATCAATAAAATCAGGTGTGGTGGAGATGGGAGGCCCCTGCTCAGCGTTAAAATCACAGGTCTCTGTGAAAATCAGTGACAGCCCCAAAGACAAATGTGCAACGGACACTAACTGGCCAATCCCAAAGGAAGAAACAAAAAAAGCCAATAAGCGTATAAGAAAATGTTAAGGCCAGGCGCGGTGGCTCATGCCTGTAATCCCAGCACTTTGGGAGGCCAAGGTGGTCAGATCACTTGAGCTCAGGAGTTCGAGACCAGCCTGGCCCACATGGTGAAACCCCCTCTCTACATAAAATACAAAAATTAGGCTGGGCGCGGTGGCTCATGCCTGTAATCCCAGCACTTTGGGAGGCTGAGGTGGGTGGATCACTTGAGCTCAGGAGTTCGAGACCAGCCTGGGCAACATGGTGAAGCCCCATCTCTACATAAAATACAGACATGAGCCACGGATAATGGCATGGGCCTGTAGTCCAAGCTACTCGGGAGGCTGAGATAGGAGGATGACTTGAGCCTGGTGTTAGGTTTTTTTTTTTGTTTGTTTTTTTGTTTTTTATTTGAGACGGAGTCTCGCTCTGTAGCCCAGGCTGGAGTGCAGTGGCCGGATCTCAGCTCACTGCAAGCTCCGCCTCCCGGGTTCACGCCATTCTCCGGCCTCAGCCTCCAGAGTAGCTGGGACTACAGGCGCCCGCCACCTCGCCCGGCTAGTTTTTTTTTTGTATTTCTTAGTAGAGACGGGGTTTCACCGTGTTAGCCAGGATGGTCTCGATCTCCTGACCTCGTGATCCACCCGTCTCGGCCTCCCAAAGTGCTGGGATTACAGGGTTGAGCCACCGCGCCCGGCCGGTGTTAGGTTTTTTAAAGGGAAGGCGAGGGTTAAAGAAAGAGAGGGCGGCTCTACAGCAACACGGGTATGTTGCAGAAACCTACAGAGGTGGGGGACCAGCTTGATGCCAGAGCGCACCGCCGCTGACAGGGTGGGCACTTACAGGCTGGACGGGAGGGGCTGGGCAGTAGGGCTTGCTGCCGGGAAGATGTTGAGAGACGTTCCCATGGTGAGGCAGTTGGGTCCTTGTTCCCGGCAGAATCTGATCAGGATGTTCCTTCAGTTGGGCCCAACAACGTGTCGTCAGGATGATCCTTCACCCCAGCAAGGTGTGGTCGGGACGTTCCCGGGCCGTGTGGTCAGGTGTTCGGGACATTCCGGGCCGTGTGGTCAGGTGGTCGGGATGTTCCCGGCGTGGGGGGGTGGGGGCCGGGCGTGTGGTCAGGTGGTCGGGATGTTCCCGGCCGTGTGGTCAGGTGTCCGGGGAGGTTCCCCGGGCCGTGTGGTCAGGTGGTCGGGATGTTCCCGGCCGTGTGGTCAGGTGGTCGGGAGTCGGGCGGGGATGTTCCCGGGCCGTGTGGTCAGGTGGTCGGGATGTTCCCGGTGTGGTGGTCGGATTTCCGGCCGTGTGGTCAGGTGGTCGGGATGTTCCCGGCCGTGTGGTCAGGATGTTCCCGGGCCGTGTGGTCAGGTGGTCGGGATGTTCCGGGCCGTGTGGTCAGGTGGTCGGGATGTTCCCGGCCGTGTGGTCAGGTGGTCGGGATGTTCCCGGGCCGTGTGGTCAGGTGGTCGGGATGTTCCCGGGCCGTGTGGTCAGGTGGTCGGGATGTTCCCGGGCCGTGTGGTCAGGTGGTCGGGATGTTCCCGGGCCGTGTGGTCAGGTGGTCGGGATGTTCCCGGGCCGTGTGGTCAGGTGGTCGGGATGTTCCCGGGCCGTGTGGTCAGGTGGTCGGGATGTTCCCGGTCGTGTGGTCAGGATGTTCCCAGGCCGTGTGGTCAGGATGTTCCCAGGCCGTGTGGTCAGGTGGTCAGGATGTTCCCAGGCCGTGTGGTCAGGTGGTCGGGATGTTCCCGGTCGTGTGGTCAGGTGGTCGGGATGTTCCCGGTCGTGTGGTCAGGTGGTTGGGATGTTCCCGGCCGTGTGGTCGGGATGTTCCCAGGCCGTGTGGTCGGGATGTTCCCGGTCGTGTGGTCAGGTGGTCGGGATGTTCCTGGGCCGTGTGGTCAGGATGTTCCCGGCCGTGTGGTCAGGTGTTGGGGATGTTCCCATGCTGTGTGGTCAGGTGGTCGGGATGTTCCTGGGCCGTGTGGTCGGGATGTTCCCGGCCGTGTGGTCAGGTGTTCGGGATGTTCCCGGGCCGTGTGGTCAGGTGGTCGGGATGTTCCTGGGCCGTGTGGTCAGGATGTTCCTGGGCCGTGTGGTCAGGTGGTCGGGATGTTCCCAGGCCGTGTGGTCAGGTGGTCGGGATGTTCCTGGGCCGTGTGGTCGGGATGTTCCCAGGCCGTGTGGTCAGGTGGTCGGGATGTTCCCAGGCCGTGTGGTCAGGTGGTTGGGTGTTCCCAGGCCATGTGGTCGGGATGTTCCCAGGCCGTGTGGTCAGGTGGTCGGGATGTTCCTGGGCCGTGTGGTCAGGTGGTCGGGATGTTCCTGGGCCGTGTGGTCAGGATGTTGGGCAGGATCTTGGGCAGGCCGAAGCCCTGTGGAATGTTTCACTTCAGCCTGGGTCTGGAAAATGGCAGGGGGCTTACAAAATGGTGCAGTTTGGATTAACACCTGGGAGCCAGAGGCTGCAGTGAGCTGATACTGCACCACTGCACTCCAGTCTGGGCAATGGAGCCAGAGTTTGTCTCAAATAAAAAGAAAAAAAAAAAAACAGAAAGAAAGAAAGAAAATGTTAAACCCTCATAGTACTCAAATCAAAGAAACTAAATCAACAATGCAACACCATCCTGGCTACCAAACTGGTAAGGCTTTTAAAAAAATTGTAAGACTTGGGCCGGGCGTGGTGGCTCATGCCTGTAATCCCAGCACTTTGGGAGGCTGAGGCAGGTGGATCGAGACCAGCCTGACCAACATGGCGAAATCCTGTCTCTACCAAAAAAATACAAAAATTAGCCAGGCGTGGCCAGGTGCAGTGGCTCACGCCTGTAATCCCAGCACTTTGGGATGTCAAGGCAGGCGGATCATGCGGTGAGGAGATCGAGATCGTCCTGGCCAACATAGATGAAATCCCGTCTCTACTAAAAATATAAAAAATTAGCTGGGCATGGTGGCAGGCGCCTGTAGTCCCATCTACTCGGGAGGCTGAGGCAGGAGAATGCCCGGAACCCGGGAGGCGGAGCTTGCAGTGAGCCGAGATCACGGCACTGCGCTCCCGCCTGGGCGACAGAGCAAGACTCCATCTCAAAAAAAAAAAAATAGCTGGGTGTGGTGGTGCACACCTGTAATCCCAGCTACTCAGGAGGCTGAGGAAGGAGAATCGCAGGAACTCAGGAGGCAGAGGTTGCAGTGAGCCAAGATCACGCCACTGCATTCCAGCTTGGGTGACAGAGCAAGACTCCATCTCAAAAAACTAATAATAAATAAGATAAATAAATAATTGTAAGACTCTGTGTTGGTGAGAATGAGAAGAGGAAAACTACCGGCTGGTGAACGTAATGTGACGTCTGTTTTGGGAGGACTTCGGCTCCGTGTGTCAGAACAACCCACACGCCATGCAGCGGTTAGACCAGAAGAGAGGAACAGTGAGCCAGGGTGTGGGTCTGCGATGAGATGGTCAGGCGTTTGCATTTTCTTCATACTCTTCTAGTTTTCTTCCTACAGTGAAGACGTGTTGTCTTTTGATGTGAAAAAGTAAAGTCCCAGGGTTCCTTTGAAGCTTGAAGCAGGAATATTTAAAGACTTGACATAACTCATAAATCTATAGAATGGATTAGCCTAAAATGGTTCAAACACATACGAAAACTAGAAATAGCTTTTTTTTTTTTTATAAATTCATAAATGACAGCTCATTTGTGAAAAACAAAGAGGTTGACCCGGGGCGGTCAGCCCTTCCCAGGATGTGACCCTCCTGCAGAGGACGTGTGCCCCAGGGATTATTTCAGATTGAGGGCCCTGTGGGGGCCTGCCCTCAGGCAGCTGCTGACCTGGCTCTGGGTGGACTGTGGCTCCTTCTGTAGCTTTTTTTTTTTTTTAAAAAACAGAGTCTTGCTCTGTCTCCCAGGCTGGAGTGCAGTGGTGCGATCTTGGCTCACCGCAAATTCTGCCTTCTGGGTTCAAGTGATTCTCCTGCCTCGGCCTCCCAAGTAGCTGGGATTACAGGTGCCTGCCACCAGGCCCAGCTAATTTTTGTATTTTTAGTAGATACGGGGTTTCACCATGTTGGCCAGGCTGGTCTTGAACTCCTGACCTCAAGTGATCTGCCCACCTTGGCCTCCCAAAGTGCTGGGATTACCGGCGTGAGCCACCGCACCCGGCCTTGAGTAGTTTCTTGTAAAATGTGATGACTTCATTCTCTTGTCGCGGGTTGAAAAGCGAACTGTTTTTCGGAGGACATGCTAGAACATCATCTTCCCAAATTTTAGAGCAGGTGCCTTTCCAGAAATCAGGGTATCTGTCAAGCTTTGTGGAGTGAGGGCCTCACCGTTTCTGGAGAGCCCCCTGGGGCATGACGAGGAAGGGCTGGGGGCATGTGGACATCACGTGCTCCCCACGTGACCCTCTCTGCATGAATTTTGTCTCTTTAGCCCCTCTGAAATCAAAGAAATCCTGCATCTGGCTGGACTCAATGAGCTGGAGGTGATTCCCTTGGTGCAGACATTTGGACACATGGAGGTGAGTGGCAGGAATGGAAGTTACCTGTTACCTAGTGCCTGGCGTGGAGTCCAGGGGCTGCAGGCTGGGCCAGGCTTGTGCCCAGGGGTAGGTGCAGCAGGTCTGTGGTTGCAGGCAGCGCAGCTCAGCACAACTCAGAGAGGACTTTGGTCTAGGAAGTCCCTGTCTGACTCGGCCAGAGCTGCAGGTTGGGGCAGGCTATCTGCCTGAGGAATGGAAGGGAAGAGCCAGAAAGGGGGTCCTGGAGGCTGGGAGGTGGTTTCCTTTTTAACTTGTATTCATCAGAATATTATGTGGGGTAAAACACAGTATTAAGGAAAGAAAAGGGGTTTTTCAGGCCAGGTGTGGTGGCTTACACCAGTAATCCAGCACTTTGGGAGGCCGAGGCTGGCGGGTCACCTGAGGTCAGGAGTTTGAGACCAGCCTGGCCAACATGGCGAAACCCCGTCTCTACTAAAAATACAAAAATTAGCCGGGTGTGGTGGTGGGCACCTGTAGTCCCAGCTACTTGAGAGGCTAAGGCGGGAGAATCGCTTGAACGCGGGAGGTAGAGGTTGCAGTGAGCCAAGACCATGCCACTGCACTCCAGCCTGGGTGACAAGAGCAAGACTCTATCTCAAAATATATATATACACACACACACACACACGTTCTTATATATATATATATATATACACACACATATATATACACATACATACACATATGTACACACATATATACACATATTCTTTTTTTTTTTTTTTTTTTTTGAGACGGAGTCTCGCTCTGTCTCCCAGGCTGGAGTGCAGTGGTGCGATCTCGGCTCACTGCAAGCTCCGCCTCCCGGGTTCACGCCATTCTCCCGCCTCAGCCTCCCGAGTAGCTGGGACTACAGGCGCCCACAACCGCGCCCGGCTAATTTTTTGTATTTTTAGTAGAGACGGGGTTTCACCGTGGTCTCGATCTCCTGACCTTGTGATCCGCCCGCCTCGGCCTCCCAAAGTGCTGGGATTACAGGCGTGAGCCACCGCGCCCGGCCACATATTCTTTTATATATATATATTTTTTATATATATATACACACACACACATATTCTTTTTCACATCTGTATCAAACAGACAGGAAGTGATGCAACATTAACCACCACAGTTTGATTTAATGGCTCTTAGGTTCCATTTATTTCTCTAACAGATACACCATTCTGGTTTCTATTTCCACACACCGCGGGAAGGAAGGTTGTTTTCACTTACACATGCCGGTGTTCTGGGCATGCCACCGAAGTTCCTTCCCACAGCTTGGTCCTCCGGCCTTTCTAGTTGATTCTCCCCATCACACTCTGCCCTAGGACCTGGCACGTGCTCTTAGCCTCCTGCCACCTCTCTACAGAATGTCTCTCCCAAGGCCACCAGGGTCCTCCAGGTCACTAAGTCCAGGGATGGTTTTAGTCCTTTCTGGCTGGACCCTTCGGTAGCTTCTGGTATCCCCAGCTGCTCTCCTGAGCCCCACACTTTCCGGCTTCCCCCTGCCACTGACTGTGCCTCCTCGGTATCTATTTGCATTTGCCTCTCTGTAGCTGGCGGTCCCCAAGGCTCCTCTCGGCCCCTGTCCCCACCTCCCACTCTCTCTAGACGGTGCCATCTCTGCTCCTGCTTTCTCTTCGTCTTCCTCTTCCTCTTCTGTCTGCACCTCAGCAGCTCCAGACCTCCTGGGTTACAGACCCTCATCCCCAGCTTCCTGCTGGTCACTTCCACTGAGGGGCCTCCTCCAGCCTCTGGTGTGCACACCAGAAGCAGACCAGCCGCGGTCAGCACCACCACCCGCCCGTGCCCTGACCCATGTTGGTCCTGCTGCTGCTGCTCCTCCTCCTCCTCTGTCATGCAAGCACCACCCCTGTCTAAACCACCACCAACTCGCCATGAAACTCTCCTAACGGGTCTCCCAGGGCCACTCTGCCCCTCCGTGCCACTCTCCCCACCGCAGCAAGTCACAGCACAGCTCTGACCACTCACACCTGCCATCTCCTTAAAAGACACTGTTGTCAGGGCAGAACTGATTGCCACAAACCGGGTGGCTTAAGACAACAGAAATGTTCTCTCAGTTCTGGAGACCAGATATCCAAAATCAGCGTGTCGAAGGGTTGGTTTCTTACTGAGGAAGACCCTCCATGTGTACATTTGCTATTAGTATACCCTTGTGTGCTAGTTTTTGAGACAGGGTCTCGCTCTGTTTCCCAGGCTGGAGTGCAGTGGTGCAATCTTGGCGCACTACAACCTCCGCCTCCCGAGTTCAAGTGATTCTCCTGCCTCAGCCTTCTGAGTGCCTGAGATTACAGGCGCCCCACCACACCCGGCTAACTTTTTGTCTTTTTATTAGAGATGGGGTTTCAAGATGTTGGCCAGGCTGGTCTCGAACTCCTGGCCTCAGGTGATCCGCCTGCCTCGGCCTCTGAAAGTACTGGGATTACAGGCATGAGCCACGGTGCCCGGCCTAGTATACCTCCTTGGTATACCAGAAATAACTGCTTGGGTGTATTACCCATTTTTTTTCAACTTGAGTTTTTAAGGTTCTTTATATGTCCTAGATGCAAGTCCTCTGATGGAATTTGCAGGTATTTTCTCCCAGTGTGGAGCTTACATGCTTTTGGTGGCATTTCTGAAAACTTGTTGTGATCACCAGATCACAGAGATTTTTCTTGTATTTTCTTCTAAAGTTTAACTTGTGTGCATTTTTCATTTAGATCTATGATCCATGTTGAGTGTGGTATTTTTATTCTTTCTCCAGAACCCTTGAACATTCAAGTTGTCTTGAGTCACAGTCTCACTCTGTCACCCAGGCTGGAGTATGTGGCACAATCACAGCTCACTGCAGCCCTGAACTTCTGGGCTCAAGCAATCCTCCCACCTCAGCCTCCTGAGCAGCAGGGACCACAGGTGTGCGCCACCACACCCTGCCAGTTTTTTAATTCTGTGGAGATACCAGGTCCCACCATGTTGCCCAGACTGGTCTCGAACCCCTGGCCTCAAACAGGTCCCCCACTTCAGCCTCTCAGAGTGCCAGGGTTACATGTGTGAGCCGTTGCACCTGGCCCCATTTTGGGTTAATTTTTTTGTTTATTTTCCTTTTTGTGAAGAGTGGGGTCTCACTATGTTGCTGGGCTGGTCTCAAACTTCTGGG